GATTTTTTCTTGTTAAAATAAGTCCACAGTATAGCATCAACCTTGAACTTTTAATAAAGCACGCATTTGGATTGGTTAAATTTGTGAAAAATATATGTGTGATCGGTTATTCTTTTATGAATCTCGGTTTTTGCGAGCAATGTGTGCCCTGTAAATATGCAATTTTTCAATCGGGAGTCACCCCTAAAATGGTGTCACCCGGTGTGGGCCGCACCCCCCGCACCTGCCTCGCTACGCCACTGCCTCACATGATCACAGTCTCCCCCACCCCACAACCCTAAAATTATTTCCTGATAGTTTCTCGTACACTTCAATTCTGTTCTCTATACCAACGGTTCGCAACCTGTGGTACGCGTACGTACCCCTTACTATACTTATATTGACATTTGGGGAAAAAGAAAAAAACATACCGTATTTATTACACCCTTTCTTTTTTTAAAAGCTTTATTTCAATACTTGGTTGTATTGTTAAGTAGGTTGTTAAACAATACGAAACAGAGGACTGAAAACCAGTATGCAAAGAAAAACAATACCAAAGCTATTGATATTATCAATATTCAATTTAATCATACTATTAAGATGAAATAAAAATTCAAAATCAAATGTATAGAAATTTAAATTATAGTCTATATAATTAACTTACACTTACAGCACAACATGTGAAAAAGTATAATCCTCGACAATATAAAAAAGATGGAGGCAATCGGTAGTCACCACAACTTTAAATTAAAGAAGAATTAGGTCAACCCACATGCTATAACAACAATTATCAACAAATTTTATCCACAAAAATATTTTTAGAATAAAATTCATAGATCTAATGATAAACATAATTTAGTATTAAAGGCCAATGTTGATATTTTTTATTTATTTTTCCCGTTTAAATAAAAATACAGATCTAGTCTAGTTTTATTTATGGCCAAATATTATATTTCAATGTTTATCTTTGAGATTCGTTTCAGGTAGGCTGTTTTGTTAAAAAGAAACTAAAATAACTTGAAATATAGAATATAAAAGCCTACAAACATTAAGGTTTATTATCTGCTTCATTTGATTACTTAGCTAATCTATTTTATTACTGATTTTAGAGATAAGTGAGGGTAAGGGCGGGACCATCTTTACATCAGAGGGGGGCCTTAGGCAAAGTAATACACTGAGGCCTCCCTATCCCTCTATATACTCAGGGCCGTGTGAAGGAGGGGCAAAATAACCAGTCCCCCCGGCGCCAAAAATCGTCTTAACATAGGCCCTTAATCGTGTATTAAACTATAAAATCCCATGTGATTCACATGGACAGGGGCGCCATAGTCGTCGTACTAGTCCACCATGGACGCGATTTTCCTTCTGTAGCCTTCTATTCAAGTACCTAATGAAAAGCATTATGGCCCAGGTTGGATAACGCATGATGACCAGTTTCTTTCAGGTAGTGTTATCCGCGGGTGGGGGGGGGGTAGCTTTTCAGGCATTCGAGGTAGGGGGCTAGGGGTGCAGCACCGAAATTAGGCATTATGACACCCGGGGCCATCTCTGACTTCGTCGCCCCACCATCATAACCAAAAATTCACTCTGGTTGTGGAGCCCCCCCCCCCCCCGCCCCTCTCGAGTGCATTCTTTTAGCCCCAGATTAGTTTCGTACCTGGAATCTATTTAGTCCAACTACGTACATCGGTACCAAACGAAAGGAACATTTATATTTTTTCCATTCAAATAAATCATTGTAATTACTTATATCCAGTGCATTTTTAAGAATGAAATGTGTCGGTACTGTCACTTTAATCGGGGAGGGAGAAGAGATCGAGGGCGCCGAACGAAAATGGTAAGATTTGGGGAGGGGTCTTGGTAAGCCCATCTCCATATAATTTTTTATAAATTTAAAATGATGGGATGCATTTTCTGCCTACAGGAAAATGAATTTAGTTTTGCATCATTTTCCTCTTAATGGGCTAGCAACAGAAAAGATGCTGGTTGAAATTTGGGTTCCCTTGACAATGCATGGGTTACGGTTACACAATTATTTTTTTAATTTTTAGTCGTATCTAAATAATAATAGACAAATTTAAAAAGTTTTGTGGAGGAAAAACAAAGGGAATGGTAATAATATAATAATATATAATATTTATATAATTATTTTTGTTTTAATTTTAAAAATAATAAAATTTGGAACCCTAGGTTTATTCAATTCCTTCATTTGTGATATTCATCTTGATTAATCATTATCATGCTCATGGATGTTGTCATACTCAAATGTGAATAATATTGAATAATCCTAAGGAATGGCAATATTTTCAATTTTTTTTTTTTTTTTTTTTTTTTTTTAAATAAAATTTAAGTAAATTTAGGTTTTTTTTACTAATTTATTTTTTGAAATTCATAATTAACATACTCATAAACATTGTTATTGACGAAATAACACACGCATGCATGTATCACGGGTCCTTATAATGAATATGGAGACGGCCTACTGCAGACCCGTTTACTTGTAGATCTATGACTTTGGCGACTAATTTACATGTCTTTTGCGATTCTCCGTCGAGACCCGGTGGAAAAAAAGGGGGGTGAGTGAGGTTGGTCGCTGAACGAAATAATTAGTTAATTACGTCACCAGCACGGAAAGACTAATGTGTTCAGCTCTAGGCTAAATATTAATACAGCGATATCTTGTCAGCTATTTGTGAAAACACAAAGCATTAGTATGACGTTATCCGCGAAAAATTGTGGTGATATTTTATAGCCTTAATAACTGTTATTTAGGTGAAAATTGGCTCTAAAAGGGCACTCAAGGGTCTATTTTGCATTAATTTTACCCCCTCCCCCTTTCCAGTCCAAATTTTATTTTACCGTACTTCTTTAAAATACATTTTTAAATACATTTTAAAGAAATTTAAATTAATTTTAAATTAAATGGTAAAAGCCTAAGTATTCATTGGATTTTATTTATTATTAATATTCAAGATAATCTCATTTTTTTACAAATAAAAAGAATGTAAATACTGATACTTTACACCATCATATTTGGATGTATGAAGAATGTATGCGTGAACGAATTTCAAAAATCTAAATATTTCGGTTTCGGCCGAAATTCTCGTTAAACTTTTGGTTTTGGCTTCGGTTTCGGCCGAAAGTCTCATGAAGCTTTTCTTTTCGGCCGAAATTCATTTTGAACTTTCGGCCTAGTTTCTGTCGAAATCAGAAAATCACTTTCGGTCGGTCCTATACTTGAAAGTTGAAATACTAATATTCTGTAATAATTAAGTTTATTTAGTACATGTTGATTAAAATTAAAACTGATCCCTTCATGTTTCTATTTTGGCTCTACAAATATATAATTATAATGTGCACAGGCACAGGAATTTTTTCCTTCAAAATATAGACATGTGCGGCCGTCAACACTATCTGAAGTGCAATGATCCGGCCGTCAGATCAATGTGTTTGGGGGGCCTTTGTTGTATAATGTTGTCAAATTAGCCTAGTAGTCTACGATTTTCCTTTCATTTGACTTTGTTTTATTTTTTTGTTGTTGAAAAAAAAATTTGGCCAGTATGGGGATCGAACCCACGACATTCGCGTTATTAGCACGACGCTCTAACCAACTGAGCTAACCGGCCGTTACAATGCCAGGTTACAAAACCTTTATAAATGCTATATTTTAATTAAAACATTACTGAATGCTATGCATTTCATTTTTTAAATTTAGCACAGATCTTTATTTTCAATATTTTTATAAGACAAAGTAATTTGGGCATGTCTAAATAAATTTTAATTCAATTATCATTATTAATTTTTAAAATTAGTGCTTGGATTCTGTGTTCTACTGTCCGTCTAAGTCTAGTCTTGTGTTTTTAGTGTCTCCTTTACTTTTACGGACGAACAATTACATCCTCTCCTGTCTTTTTCTGTTCAGATCCATTACATCGTTTTACATTTTCTTTGAATAAATACATTGAAGTTTTAAAAAATTAAATGAGAGCCTGGAGTTAATTATTTGCATAATTTTCGTGACAATAATAAAGACAAAGTAATTTGTCTTTTACCATATTATAATGTTTGTGCCTGCACTGTTGCGCGGCTAAATAAAAAGGTATTATTAGATTTATTCTGTGCGGTAATAAAGGAAGTACCCGAGTATTGACGGAATGTCCCGATTGCCACGTTAGCAATCTGTGAAGTGTTGGACGATGTTGTGACACAAACAAGTGAATTATTTTAGCAGTTTTCAGTTGTACGATCATGGAAATAACATATTATGTCTTTTTAATTTTAACTTCATGTATATTATATACTGAAGCCATACGATTTCTTCTTGCATCAAATCAAAGAAAGTGCCTTCGCGAAGAAATCCACAAGAATGTTTTGGTTACCGGCGAATATGAAATTCAAGAGAATGGACAAAGAGCAGATTTGAGTGTAAGTGGACCTCTGATGATAGCTGATGCTGTTAGATTCATTCCTATTTATCTTTAAACATGCATATTAAGGTAATCTACCACTTCAGCGTTGGCTATTAAAAAAATCGTTTTTTGGCCTACCAAAAATACCACCATTGTCATTGATGGTGGAGAGAGGAACTGCATTTGCCCTGGCCCTGGTATTGAAAGAGAGGAGGGTGGGTGCTGTTTTCTTGTTGAAGTGCCAGACCAAACCCATCACAAGAGTGCATAATGAGATGTATTCTACCAGAATTCAATATGGTCTATGGCATGGGCAGCTTATAAATCAGATTAGACATGGAATCTATGAATACTCTGTTGTCATTGTGGTCCATCAACAAAACTTGGTTGATTCAAATGTCATTAGTGAAGTAAGAATATTTATTAAATCTATCTTCTGAAATGGATACATACAATATAATAAATAAAACATTTCCATTGATTAGGATCAAGAAAATGATTTTATCTTATCAGTAAAAGAATAACCAGTAAAATAGCATTTAAATTAATTTAAATTAAACTGAAATGGTAGATTACCAATTCGAAGTCTACATGTCCGGCGCTGGACTAATAGTGCGCGTGAAATAGCAGGACGACTAGTAGTCATTATTATTTCGAATGAAGTGGCTATTTGGACATATTGTGTGGTCTTATGGTAGAGTGATCGCTTGACATTACAATATTATATTTGTGGATCAATGCCCAGTATGGGATCTTTTTTTTTCCCCCATTTTAATTTTAAAAATTTTGTAATATTTTTATATTATCATGTTCATCAGCAACAGTAGTTTCATGAGAAGCTTAAAATATGTTGTAGCAATTTAAACAATTTAAAATGAAATCTTTTACTTTTATTGGTTGCCTACTCCATACTGGCCCCTAATTTATTTTATGGATTGCTGGTACACAAACTCAAATAACAAACTAAACAAAAATGTTTACAAGCCACTATCCCTTAAGTTTTTTTTCTATTATTTGCATTCAAGATACTCAGTACATTACTTGGTAGAGAAATAGATTTTAAAATTAACAATAGTTTTGAATCATTCGTGGTCACGTGACAAGGCTGATGGACAAGATATCTCTCGCCACTTTATTACGGCGGTCATGTGACTTGGTCGCCGGACAAATAGTGCGGGAGATATACGTCCGGCGCTGCCTTACCAATTTAAATTGATACAAATTAAAATTTTCCCTTGTACCTGAAAAAAGTGTAGAATATCATCTAAACATAAGCCTGTATCAGGCTGTTAAGTAAATAATTTAAAATTATTTTGATTCTTATTAAATAATATAGCCTTGGACCTCTTTAATAGCACTAGACTCTAAGACTAATTAAATACCTTATACTTATTAAATTTAAAAAATACCCTTAACCCAACTTTAATTAGGCCTTTGAGTACATTTCATAAACGATTTGTTGTAATAGAGTAATAATATTTTATTAGGCTTAGGCCTAAATAGACAATAGTTATAGGATGATAATAACAACAGTTAACTGTCATTCTTAATTAATTTGTGGGCTTATTTTAGTAATGTTCTCCCATACCAGTAGTCATTAATGATAGAATAACATTATTATTATTGTTATTACTGTTATTAAACTGTTATTTATTGATTCAAAAACAAACAAATTTATTGAATAATACTAAAAAGCAACCCTTACTTAGTCACTACAAAATATTTTAAAGTTTGGTTATAATCTTTTCTTAAATTTTATAAAATTATTCACATTAAACTTCTTAACATTATTCAGATTTTTAAGCATTGAAAAATAACAAATCACTCTGCAATTGACAGTGATAAGAGCCATTTCCTGCAGTTCTATGGAATAAAATTAACTTTAACAACTTAAATATGTTCAAAATGGATGTAGTTTCACCTATAACTAAACCTTATTTTTAAGGAATAACTAACAAAAAAGTATTTATTTGATCTATGCTTAACGAATCATTATGATCCTCTCCGTGACACCGGAAAAAAACTTTTAGCATAAATTTCATAAGATCACAGGAAGACAAAAACATATATGTCAATGATGAGGAAAGCAATTTTTAATGGACAATTGTGACATTAGTATACAAGTTTCTGAAAACAAGCATAGCCATACCCAATATCTTTGACAAAGTTGCTAACGGATATCAAAGTATTTACAATAATCAAGTTATATACATTAACAATTCTGGTATCATAACTACAAAATCAATAATATAGAAATAGGAAAGGAAAAATGTAAAATAAAAGGTGGAGTACACCATACACGCAACGAGAGTATTAATCCACACAAGTAATAGGAATGGTGAAAATAGTAATCCATATAAGTGATTGGAATGGTTAAAATAGTAATCCACACACAAGCGCATAATGGTAATTATCACTTGCTCACTGTCTCTCCAATTACTTGGTGACGACACAAACACAAGAGACAACACAGGCTGTAACAGGCACTGAAATACAATTGTAATCATTCATTAAATCAGTTACTCATACCCATGACACTATTACTATTAGTAGATCTAATTATTAATTGTACATTCATAGAAGGGGCCATCTCTAAATCACATTACTCTAATTGGGCAGATTCTTTTAAGATTGCACAGTATAACATTATACTTTGTTAATGATGCTTTAGTATAATTAAAATCAATGTACACAGTCATGTATTAAATAAATATTGCATTGAAAATTTGATATTTCTGTTACTCAGTCATTTAAGTATGTTCATCTTCTGTAAAGATCATTTCATTTCAGTTTAATACACATTTTTCCAGATAAATTATTTCCTCTAATTACTTTCAGTTATCATATTTTATATGTTATGCTATTAACAGGTCAGAGATTCCAGGGGCCATATTTTGTACTCTAAGGAGGAAGCAGTTAAAGGGAGATTTGCTTTCACCACAGAAGAATATGACAATTTTGAAGTTTGCTTTGAATCAAAACCAATGGGTGGTAAGCATTATTTGTGTTGATTTAATTTCAATGTGTGCCTTGAAACAGTTTTTCAATTTTCTATGCTAATTTAAATGGGGGTATATTCAACTGTAAATTTTATGTTCAAGCAATGCATCTCATCCTCTTTTTTTTTAACAAATAAAATTTTCAAGATATTGAGTAGAAGAGTGTAGGACTGCAATAACATTTATTAAAAACTAGTTTTATTTATGATAAAACGAACTAGTTTTATTTATGATAAAACGAAGTATTAACATTTCAACTTAAATTTTGATTCTAAAAGATCAAATACTGGCTTTTCATGCAGCTTCATATTTTATATATTTAAATGAAGGGAATTCTTATTAAGTCTATACTTTTTTTTTTTTAAATTAAAAAAAAAAATGTATTTTTGTGACATTACTCATGCCAGAACCAGCCAGTAACATCAACAGACCATGTTTCTGAAACTAAAACATTTTATAAAAGAAGTATTAACATTTCAACATAAATTTTGATTCTAAAAAATCAAATACTAGCTTTTCATGCAGCTTTATATTTTATATATTTAAATGAAAGGAATTCTTATTAATTCTATACTTTTTTTTTTTTAAATTAAAAAAAAAAAATGTATTTTTGTGACACTACTCATGCCAGAACCAGCCAGTAACATCAACAGACCATGTTTCTGAAACTCAAACATTTTAGCCATATTTTTTAAGTCTGTAGAATAGTTAAATAGGTTGTCCCTATTCCTATGTGGCATATTGATAAATTACCCTAATTTATCTAGAGGATGGCTTTCATTTCTGGGTTATGCACATCTTTTTTATTTCAATTGTTTGAAATTCTATTTATAACAGGTGGCATTGCTCAAGAGAGGGAGGTTTATTTGAATCTCAAGCATGGTATTGAGGCCAAGAACTATGAAGATGTAAGCAATTATACTTGTAATGTTAAAGATTTGAACTTAGGTATGGATTTTAAAATGAATAACCATACTCTTACATATACAAATAAATACTTTGAAGTATTTTTAAAAAGAATATATCGTATTTACATTGTGTGGTAAAAGAGGTGGAAACATAGTGTGGTGTCAACTCTTTTTTTAGTAACTCTGATATGTATCACCTAAATACCCAAAACTAATAGAAACTGAATCCATAGAACCATATAAGTAAAGGTATTCTGAGAGTAAATGGGACAGGGAATCATATGGTATTAATGTTTCAAAATTGTAAGCTATGTGAGATTAATATGACCTTGAATTTTCATCAGTGAGTTCAATTGTTCATCTTTCTTCAACTCACACCCACAATGACTGTTGGGTCCTTCTAAATCTAAATAAATTATTCAGACACATTAAACATTCTTTCTATTTAAAAAATATATAGTTATTTGGATTTAGAGAATTTTAAAAAAATCTTTGCCGCCTTAATATTTCTTAAGAATGCCTGATAAATTCATTTGTACCCTATTTTCCTCTCCCACCACTTGAACTGCTACTAGTCTTAACTCCTCTATCATAATTATCACTACCATAAGTAATGCCAACAAGACTATCTTCAACATCACTTTCAAAAAGAAATAATAATTTAAATAAATTAGGCTTTTGTTTGGCAGGGGCAACATCTGAGTCCTAACGTTAAGTTTTAACCAGAAAAAGTTAGAGAAACAGATGAACATACGAAATATTGACGTTTTCTATTAGAAATGAAGTGAATCTAATTTGTTAAAGTTATATTCTCCTTTAATAAAACTTAAAACTTCTGATTCACATTATAATATTAATTTTAGCATCTATAATGGCCTATCATCGGCCATTATGACAGTTCATGGCACACCTATGGGTTACCTTCCGTCTGTTGCTTTTATTGTTTTAAATATTTTTATGGGGGGGGGGGAAGGAAGGGGCTGTGATTTAAGTTTTTGTCCCAGACAGCACAAGATACGTAACAGTTAAGTGGGCATATTTTATGAGTATAACAAATAGTTTTACACACCATAAATTAGTATGCAGACGTTTACATATATGGGAAGTTTTGACTGGAATAAAAACTCTTCATGTCTGAAAAAAAAAAGCTGAAATCATTTGATCATTTTAAAGTTTTTATATTCATCAAAAATGCTAATGTTCTTTCTCTAGTTCTCATAATGTTGGCGTTTAATATCATTAGTTACTCTCACACTGAAACTAACATGTCTTTTATCCAAACACAGTTTTAAATTAGCACTGTCACTTTAGTTTGTCAACTATATTTATATTGTAGATTGCAAAAGCTGAAAAGTTAAAACCACTGGAAGTTGAACTGAGGAGATTGGAGGATCTCTCCAAGTCCATTGTTGATGATTTTGCCTACATGAGATCAAGAGAAGAACAAATGAGAGATACTAATGGTAATGTATTAAGCTTTTTAAAATTATTTTTTGGTCTATTTCTGATATAATATTTTTGATCAGCTTTCATGTAATTCTTTAGTAACAATGATAAATCATTTATAATGGCTTTTATAGATGCCCTAGAATTAAAAAAAAAATGAAGGTATAGAATTGAAATGAGGCATAACACATCTCTTTAATTATGCATTATTTGCTGGTTTTCATTTGCAGAATCCACTCATTCCCGTGTGATGTACTTCAGCTTGTTCTCCATGCTTTGTCTGCTTGGCCTTGCCACTTGGCAAGTTCTCTATCTCAGGAGATATTTCAAAGCCAAGAAACTGATAGAGTAGAACAAATGGCTGTAGTGGGACGAATGGTTGTTTGTGTGTGTCCAAAGTTGTTTATATTTGTATGGTTTTGGTTAATCACCTTTTTATTCAAATTTTTTTTTATGCAAGGATCGTACAGTTGGTTATGTTGAATATGTTTATTTGGGCTCACTGACTGTATAAATTGATTTTTAGTTGTTATGGTATTCTCAATTACTGATGTTCAGTTCTGTGGTACATATTATGTGAAAATTAAATTAGCAAACAAAAAGTCTGCAGGGATTCTAGTTTTTAAACATTTTAACAGATAAGATTGTTCACGCCATTATAAACTTTAATTGCTATTATAATTATAAATAATGCACATCTGTAAATGTTGTTTGTAATTGTTATGAGTATGAGTTAAACAAAATTTTTAAAGTATATTTGCCTAAAATGATGGTGATGTATCACTATCATGGTTAAGACTTTGTGAAAGGAGGATAGTTTGTAAAGAACAGCTGTTGCCTCAAATGTGTGGCTCAAAAATTATACCATGTGTGAATTATCAATTATTTTTTTCTAAATTATTTTTTTGCCATATTTCATCTCCTTCTTTTTTTAAAACAATAATTAGATGAAAGTTTTCTCCTCATTTTAAAATTTAAATCCCCTGGTAAGTTTTGCAATTAAAGATTTAAGAAAATTGACACAATAGGTTCTTTGTTGTTTATGTATGCAATGTATTGAGTGAATAACCTGCAGTGAATGATTTCTAGGGCTACGCTATAGATATCAATGTTTTGAAAACTGAAATCTTTTTAAACCTTTGTAAATTAAGAACAAAAATTGCATCTATGTTCTTTCAAAGAATATGTACCGGTACCAAGGTTGGATGTTCTCAATGTGTTGCTAGAAAGACTGTATCATCATGTCAGATAAATAATATAACCTTGTTCAAATAGAATATGAAGTTAGGGAATTTGATTAAAACAAGTTGCTTTTTTCCCCAGCCTTTTAATATTTTTTTTTTTTACATTTAGCTAGTAAAATAAAGTATAATTTAGTGGTTCAACCACCGGTTGGTCGAAACATCCTGCCCGTCTTAAGCAATTAGTTTACACACTGGTGAAGTGGTAACAGTTACTGGATCTGAAACATCTAATAGCTGCTAGTATATGCACTGGTCAATGTTAAAATTACCAAGAATAAAATACAAATAAAATTGAAACATTTATAACATTTGTTTGAACTTAAATTTTTATTTCATGAAATGTAGGAAGGAGCCCCGAGGAGTTACCATATTATTCCTAGCACATTATTTGAATACAATTTATGGGAAACTAAATATTTGTCTACAATATGAAGAGTTGTGCAACACTGCCACCACATGAAACAGGATTAATATAGACAAACATTTCCAATGCTATATGCATATTTAGTGAATAAACTATGTCATAAAATAATAATAATAATAATAAAGTTCATTTTAAAAAAACACGCTTCATCCCCAAAGGCTCGAAGCGCGGTACAAAGTCAACAAAAAACAATCTATAATTCACCACATTTAAAACAAACACAACACTACAAAAACTAATTACAAATACATAGAATGTCAAAACCTGTGCTTGTATTTGAATATTTAAAGAAAAAACTTTGATATTATTGTTGTAGATTATAGAAAATGGATCCTAAATATTATCATCTTAAGCTTGCCTTAGAGCTCTTTAATACAAATATAAGAAAATGTTTCATGATGAATATAAGACCACATATATTCTTAGCTTTCTGACACACTAATGATAATGAAACAATTAACCACAACAACTTACTTCGTAGCTGTAAAGACAATAATTTTCTTTTATAAATGATTTGAACTAATACATTACAGATGATAACATTTCGAAAGTTAACTTTGTATATAACAATTCACTTACTTTTCAAGTGTTAAGGACATTTTAATTCGTCAAAATATTTCTTGTATTAATAATAAGCATTTTGAACAATTCTTTTAACTTATATACCGGTATTAAAAAAAAATCCACTTCATTTGAGGTATGATATCCTAACATACACAAGTAGCAGCACTAAACAAATAAACAATATTTAAAATTTAGTAATTTCTAATTTTGGTCATTTTTTCAAGTTGAGATTGTCCAAGTGCAGAAGCAAATCGCTTGGTTATTGTTTCATAGCCTCCCTTTACAGCTAAATCATAGGGCGTCTCATTTCGATCATTTTTCACATTTTGATCTGCTCCAGCCCTAAAAAAGAAAGATATCATGGAATAATTTTGGCAAGGTGAAAGTAAATTAAATCTCAGTACTATTTTTATGGCAGGGAAGTGGACAAAGGTAATTTTTCTACATAAATTTTAATAGTTAATCATATTAATGTTGAATTAATTTTTTTCTACATAAATAGTTAATAATTTTAGTTTTGAATTAATTCTTTTCTTGTCCATGGCATAATTTTGTCAGAGAAACAGGCAACTCAACAATTCTGTTCTTATTTAATTAAATGGTTTGCTTGCAAAAAAGAGAATTTAATACCGTTCTCTCATTACGCAAAGGTGATCTTTATACCGTATATCAATAAAACAGACACTAAATAGAATTGTTAAGTTCACAGTGACAGTTATTAGTAATGTCACTTACATTAATAGGGCATCGATGACTTTCATCCCTGAAACACCAAGACTGACTGCTTCATGCAATGCTGTATTACCCTTGCTGTAGAAAAAATAGAAGCGGAATCCAAAAGATGGGGAACCTGTCACAAAAAGTTTACCTCCTACGCAGTAAACTATTTAAACCACAATTTATGGAAAACTAAATTTTAAATAACATTTTCATTATGAAGATTCCTATGAAGAAGAAAACAAAATGCATAGTGTGAGGGGTGGATATTAGGCTGACAATTGACCCCAAAACTTAACTTACATCAGTCTATTGGTGGTCTATTTTCTTAACATAGTATCCTTAATAACCTTGCCAGCCAAAGGTGCAGGTCAAGCTTTGATAAATACTCCAGTTAATAAGGCAATTTGGTTGGCCTCAGAAATAACAAGTTAAATCAAGTGTATTGGGAAATTGCTAAGAAAAGTCAATGAATAGTTAAGACAGAACTTATACTATGAGTAATAGGATTGTATTTTGTTTTTTGAAAATCATTAAATTATTATTTTCATTTTTAAATTCAACCATTTGTGACTCATTTAAAACCAATTCATTCATAAGAAGACACCCCTTAAATTTGACTGAAAATCCTGAAAAGTGTGTCACTTGCTGTGATGGCAGGTTGTCTAAAGGGTTGGGGTCCCCCACTCAATAATCACATAAAACAAAATAAAAAACTATAGCTGTAGCCCCTACAAAGCTTATGAGAAGTGAAGATAAAATTAACTAATTTAATGTTGAAGTGGCATGACCCAAATAAAAAAATAATGGAGTGAAACATTGTAGTGCAGACCTTAACATGTTTAGGTATTTGACATGGATAAAAAGCCAAATAGGGTAGTACATCAGGTCACACGTTGTCGTTTATCATTGCCCCAGAATGGCAGTTACAGAGGCAACCATATTTGTTCTCTTCCTTTCTTTACTCTTCTGCCACCAGTTATTCACATACTTTACTTAAAGTACAGCGGGGGCTGTCTCGGACTAAAACGCCAGAAACATGTGCAAAAACACAACAAAATGGCAATGCTATTCTGATCATGACATCCGCCAATAAGTTGCCATTGTAAGATATGATACTGAACACAATAAAAAATAAATGACTGCAGCCTGGAAAATAATACATGGTCGCTTTGTCTTTCAATGCATGTATGATGTATTCTGCATATATATCAATTAACAAGTTTGCACAAGATCTGATAGTTCAGGTGCTGGTAACGAGCCATATCAAAATGAGAGCTGCTCTGACAATTCTAAATTTCAGCTGTTGCCATTATTTTATCAAATTTGGCAATATGACATTTAATTATGCAATGTAGGTACTGTAAAAGACTCTAAGAACAGCCAGTTACTGCATCTAAAAATGAGGATAAAACTTTTGACCCAGTTTTGTACAAAGCTTTAATTTGGCTTTGGGTACTTATTTTTTTCAACATTGTTTCTATAACTGAATCAATGATCCTAGAGAAAATTATAAAATCTTTTATGACCTGCTCTTAAGCTGACCAACTTATGTCCCTGAAATATTTCCAAAACAATTTGGCTTTAGAAAGAGTACATACTGTAATTTATACAATAATTTTTCATTTTTTAAAATTGGGATAATAAAGTGGATTCTATTGAATTTTTCAAGTTAAATGAAATGAAGCAAAATAATTACACTGAACCTTGTCAAATTAATTAAAATAATAACATTGAACTAGTTCAACTAAACAAAATAATTACATTGAACTAGGTCCTTTGGCATTGACTTGAGCACCTCCACGAATCAGCACATCAATAGCATCAATGTGTGAGTTTTTGGCAGCAACATGTAAGGGAGGCAAGTTGTTCTTGTTCAGGCAGTTTGGATCAGCACCCTGGAGAGTAAAAAATCCCAGTCAATTTAATTGACTCTTTCATTTCAAAGATACTTACAGAAGTGGCTTCATTTATAAATGGTGGTAATGGAACTCAGTTAAGATACCGGTACCGTACTTAAAAATTTTTTAAAGTATCTTATAAAAATAGAAACTTACATCATCAATTAATTGTTGAATGTCCTCAACAGATGCTTCGCTGTTAGGGCCCAATTGTTTCAATAGCTTAGCATTTAAAGGCTGTAGAAATAAAAAAACTAATAAACTATGGAAAGTTGTCAATTCTTACAATAAGAGCAATTGAGTACCAATACAATATGGGAATGATTTTCAGCAGTTTTGGTGAAGTTTGTCTTTGTTGTTTTTTTCAAGTTATCAAGATTCATCTCATGCTGCATTTAAATATTTGTCCTACGTCTTAGTTGAATGTTGTGAAAATTCTTAATATATATAAATACATTACATAATCATTTATAAAAGTATTGGACTGCGATAAAGCTATATGGAAAATAAATTAATAAAAAGATATGTAAATTTAACTTATACTTGAAATGTTTTTTGATATACTGATGAAGGCATTTGCCAAAACATTTGAGTTTGTATTTTTTGAAACCATAATTAAAGCTTAAGATATATTGTTTTATTTACAAAAATTGTTTGTTTCATTAATCTATCAATCAAACAACTTATCTATTATTCTAATTTTATGATATTTCAATAGGATGATACCACAGCTCTGGCTTACTGAAAGTTTAACGGCTGGCTTTTTTTTGGCCTTGGGCTTCTTCACTTTTTTTACTCCAGCAGATCTGGAAGTTTCTACATCCTCCTCATCTTCACTCTCTAAATTCAATGGAAAATAATATTATAATTTAAAATGTTATTGCATCAAAAAAACTTTACTACATTGTTGACATTTTATAAACCACATATAAGACATAAGGAATAAAATAAATCTGAATGTTGCACTCATGCTTGTAATGTAAGAAAGAAAGTTATTTTTAGAACACCAAATTGGTGTAGACATGTCCACATAAATGTACTCTTGAATGGCCTGCATTACAAAAAATAATGTAGTTGCTGATCCCTATTCATAACCATGTGGAAAATAATTACCTTCATCCTCCGAGTAAATTTGCTCATCTAACTGGGTGTGTGTACTCAGGTAACCTTCAGATCTGGACACACCAAGTTGTTTACCAATAAAAGGATCCTTGGTACCTCTAAGTGCAAAGGTCAATGTCAAACTCAACTCATAGCCATCCTCTTGAACGGCAGAGGTTAAAAGCTGTAATGGAGAAACTAACCTCTAATAAATCACAATTCATAATATTAGGAGAAATAGTGCAAAATATAAATGAAATGTTTAGTCATGGTGATTATAACTTATTTTCTTGGTGACCATGTAAATGGTAGCGGGTCTTCCTCAAAATCAAGAGTAAATGGGTATAAATTCATCTGACATTAAACCCAGTTGTGGGGAACATGAAAAGGATTCATTAGCCTGGCTAAAAGCTATTCTTAGGGAGGAGGGTAAGCTCTAAGTAAAATATCTCAACTATTTAAGTTGGAGGGCAGCAGTCAAGTTGGCATAAGATTGAAAAACAGCTTTCTAATTTCTATACAATGCTGCGTGCTGACATACACAGAAAGAAAAATTGTCATTTTGTGAAAAATTAGCTTATTCCAGTGAA